TCAGCACCATGATCTCCCAGGGTCATGCCAGCCTACTCTAAACATAAAGTTGGAAGCCTAAGAAACCTTGATGTAGAAGGACCAGGAACATCTTCCAGGGGTATCCATCTCACTCCCGACAGCCCTCCCCCAAGCTGCTCCTCTCCCTTATTCCCCTGACATACTGGTCCTGCCCCCGTCCCCAGCCCCTTGGCATCAGCATGCATCTCCCCACGGGCTGAGTGATGGCTCCAGGGAGTCTGGGCGTTTCAAAAGCGGCCACCTGCCATCCATCAGGGCCCCATTAGAGGAACCCCTCCAGCCCACCTCATAGGACACCTCCTTCCCAGGCAGATGGGGTCCTGAAGACAGGCGTGGGAAGCAGGGCCAGGCTGCCTGCCCCAGCCCCTTGTAATTGGTAGCAGGGCCAGCCAGCCTGCTGCAGAAATGGGAAATGGGTGGACCGAGGCCCAGGAGACAAGGACAGACACACCCACCAGATGGGCCCCAAGTCCCTATTCTTCTGAGCAAGAGACCAGGAGAAAGGCCCACAGATAGAGCTGTGCTCTCCCACAGTACTTGCCAGGGAAATTCACGCTGGCCTGGCCGCTGCAGAGCCCGGTGGCCCTCAGGTGTCCCACCTGTGCTCCAGAACCCTGTGCGTCCCCATACTCAGCCAGTGAGAAGCACTGATGTAAGTCATCTGAGCCTGAGACATGAGACTAAGCTACTTCCGACGTGGGCAGCTGGGCCGGGACCCTAGGAGACAGGGGCTTCAAATAGGGCCTTGTGGACCGGGTGACAATCCAAGCTCAGGGCTCTAGAAGCACCATTGTCACCCATTCCCTCCTTCAGGGGATGTCATGTTCCCCAGATCTCAGCCTGCCATTAGGCAAAAGTGATATGAGCGCCTTCCAGGAGCCAGGCCTCTGTCCCAGGACCATGGCCACTCTGTTAGCAACAGCTGGGTGCTGATGCCCAGAGAGGAAGCAAAGAAGGTGGCCCTGGGGGTCCTGAAGGCACTGCTGAGAAATGGGGTACAATGGCAGAGATTTCTAAGAGGCCTCTACTGCCTCTTTGAAGGGAATTCTTTCTAGTGGCAGTCATGGGTGGGGATGAGGGAAGGGGATAGACACAGAGGCATAAGGAAGATGTTTAGTGACCACGGGAGCCTGCAACGGAAAAGGGTGGACCAGAGTCAAAAGCTGGAGGCAGTTGCCACATGGATGGACAAACACACTGGATTCCTTCTTGGTGGACCCCAGTACTCCTTAAAGAGATCCTCGCAAAGGAACACTAGCCAAGTGAGTACAGGCATGCAGTACGGAGGCCGTGCTGGTGGGTAGCGGGACTGCACAGCAAACAGCAGGAGAGAGTCAAGCCAGTGCTAGGAGCAAGTCAGTGGGCTGGTTAAGACGGACAAAGGGACAGAGATGGTGCTGAACTGAGAGAACAGGCCTGCATGCATGCATGTATGCATGCATACGTATACACATACATCATGTGCGTATGTGTTGATATATATGTATGTGCACATATATATATGCAATTGACTTTTATTTTATTGCATTGGTGTTTTCCCTGCATATATGTCTATGTGAGGGTGTTAGATCCTGGAGTTACAGACAGTTGTGAGTTGCCATGTGGGTGCTGGGAATTGAATCCAGGTCCTCTGGAAAAGCAGTCAGGGCTCTTAACAGCTGAGCCATCGCTCCAGCCCCAAGAGAATGAGCTTTGTGGGAAGCCTGGGAGGCCGACAGAACTCACAACCTGCCTCTGCAGAGGAGACCCCGGCCTTACACTACTAGAGATCTCAACATCGTGGACTTCCTACTGGATCCAGGCTAGCCACCCCTGATCCTGTGTTGAACACAGGTTTAAGTCAGTTCTACCGAATCAGCGCCTAGACCACACTACTCACAGCCTGCAAGGACAGCAGGTGGCAGCAAGAAGGCCCTGTTCTAAGTGTCCCTAGAGAAGGCCAGCTAGGGAAAGAGAGCTCAGGGCCAGGCTGCCTCCCATTCCACCCACCACCTAATCCGTCTAGGAAAGGAATTGAGGAACAACAGACCTTCAGCCAGGGTGGGTCAGAACCAAGACTGGCAAAAGCCAGCCATGATGCAACGCTGAAACACCACACAGCAGCAGGTCAGGCCGGATGCCTGTGGCTAGCTGGAGGTGCAGTGCCACCCTGCATCAGAGGACAGGAGGCCAATGGATAAGAGAAGAGGCCACCAAGTGTCCCTTCCCCACGCGGCAGAGGAAGCGGATGCTCGGCCAGCCGCCATCACAGCATGCATCTGACTCTCATATTTACCTGCCTGGCATCAACCCCATCTCACCAATGAGAAAACAGAGGGACACAGAGAAAAAGTGACTAACACAAGGGACGCCGGCTACCCTAGAGTTGCCCGCTGGCCCTGTCCACCCTCGCTGCCTACCACCCAAGGCGGGAGGACGGCCGTGACATGCTAATGACCAGCATTTCTGGAGCACTGGGGACCAACAGCAAGCCATTTCACGGCAGAAACAGGCTCCGCTCCATGCGGGTCCCCTACAGTAGGGGGAATGGGTGGCCCGATGACCCCCTTCCTCTGGCCACTGATCAGATGGGGCTGACTTGCGAGTCAAACTCAGTCCCTGCTCTGGTTCTGCACAGGCCTGTCTAGTTCAGTGAGAGCTTCCCCTTGAGGCCTGAAAAGCTTGAGCAGGGGTTGCCGTGACCGGGGCCTGCTCAGTGACTCCTCTGCCTTCTCCAGGAAAACCAAGATCATTCCCCAGCTGGGCTAAGCACCAACTAAGATAACTCAGCAGGGGCAGGTGGCTTATCTCTTAGTAGGAAGGACCACGCAGTTTGTCTTCCAGGGCAGAAGGAATCAGAGGCCACACCAAGGGAGAGCCCACCTTGCTACTCAGGCGGACCCAAGCAATGGTGGGGTGGCAAGGATCCGCCGTCCTGGTACAGCTCTCTCTCTACATAGCCAAGAGGGATCAGGCCAGCGAAGGACTCAAGTGGTCAGGCTTACGGGGAAGTTCCATGTCATCCAGCCGTCTCATGGTAGGTCCAAAGACAGCAGTCACACCGCACAGGGACCTCTGAGGAAACTGACTCTCCAGCTGGCAGGGAGGCCACCACCATTAGCACCCCCCCCCAACTAGTCCACAGCAGAGCCCCTGCTCTCGGCTTGGACCCGAGTTGGCATCCTGACATCCATTCTCACCCCCAAGCACGGTGGCCCACTACCCTTGCAGCGCACAGGTGAGAAATGGAGGGGGAGGACTTGACCCAGGACAGCACAGTACCCCCCCAGCCTCTGACCATACAGTCAAAGAAATAGTAACAAGATGGGTAGTGGTGGTGCATGCCTTTAATCCCAGCACTCAGGAGGCAGAGGCAGATGGATCTCTGTGAGTTCGAGGCCAGCCTGGTCTACAAGAGCTAGTTCCAGGACAGGCTCCAAAGCTACAGAGAAACCTTATTTGGGGGGGGGGGGGGGAGATAGTAACATATTGTAAGAATGTTCACAAGTCCTTCAGGCGGGGTCAAGCTGGACCTTTGTCCTCCTTCCTAGGAGGTGCTTTGGCCTGCGTCCCCCCTTACTGTGTCCACCTCCATTCCCTAGAACTCCAGGACCAAGTCCTAGCAAAGAGGCCTTTACAGGGCCACTTCCAACCCTGGAAATCGGTCACTAGGACACAAGCATTTCTTCTAGCTCCCACCGTGGGTGACTTTCCTGCAGCCCCTCCCCACACAGACACCTGGAACAGGGAGCCCCAGAATGCAAGGTACTCTAGAGAAACAGAAGAGACCTCAAGCCTGAACTTCCTGCAGTGCGCCTTGCTTCAGACTTCCTCTGAAGCCCAACCCTCGTCGCTGCGGTCTCTCTGCTCTCCAAGACAATAACACATTCCATGCCAGACTCAGTATCTTTCTACAGTTTTTTTTTTTTTTTTGGTTTGTTTTTTCTTGTTTCTATTTTGTTGTTGTTGTTTTTTTTTAACAAAATTCACTCAAACATTAAATACTTAAATTTTAATGTGTCCACTCACCCACAGGCTGAGACCTCCTGAGCTACAATAAACGAAGGATCCATGCCCTGGGGCCCCTGCGTCTAGACCGACCCTCACATTTAGAGCTGAGAGCTGGTGACAATGCTTAGTGACACAGAGCCTTCTAGGCAGGGCCAGCCCATACTGTGGCCTCCAGTCCAAGCCTTTGAATCTTTCTTGGATCCACATCCAGACACGATGCCACCCTTCCCCAGAGGCTGGCCAGGGAGATTGACTCCTGGGTCTGCCCCTGAACTGGGAAGAGGCACCTGTTCTATCCTGGACCGGGTGCTTGGGACCCCCTCCAAGCGCCCCATCTTGATCCTGGGGCCTTGAAAGAGAGGGAAGGAGGGGAAGGGGTTGTTTTCATTTCCTGAGGCATCTTGGCTTTCTGTCTCTTTAGTGTGTATTGCTTTTAGAGTATTTGTTTAAAACTGTCCCCCCCCCCCTTATTTTTCGTGCTGTGGATGGAACCCAGTGCCTCGGGCACGCTAAGCAAGTACTCTGTCCCCGAGCGACACCTCAAGCCCCACATTCAGAATTACTTTTGGTTGCTTTGTTTAATAAGTTTCCTTGATAATGTTTGTTTTCTGTGAGAAAAATGAAATGTACGTGTAAATGTAAAATCACAATCTCGAAAGAAACACGGGCATTTAAGAGCATGCAGTTCCCAGAACTTCAGGTAAGAGGGCCAAGTGAGCATCACTGCCCAAGATTCTGGCAGCACCATTTCGCCAGACCGGGAGAAGCCAGGGCCAAACCGTCTGGGTTTCCCAGTGAGGAGCCGCCCTCCCAACTGCCTGCCTAGGAAACGGAGGGGCCCCCTTCTCCCCACCAGCCAGCCCAGCCCACCAGCAGTCAGGCCTGGGCTTACCTCCTTCCCACAGGCCTGGGACCCAAGGCCTGTCCTGCTGTCCCCTCAGGCCTGGGCAAAAAAACAGATGCCGTCCCATTCCCGAATCACACTTTACCTGGCTCTCCTGGGGCCCTGAAGCTGCCCAGCCAAGCTCGGTGCCTGCAGGAAGGTGGCTGGGCCCTCGGTACCCTTGCTCTGAAGGCGTCTAGTCTCACACATGGGAAGGCTCCCTCCACCGGCTACCTAATGAGAGTGAGTCACATCAGGGGCCCACCACTTCCTGCTCGGTAGTGGTAACGGCAGAGGGCTAGCTAAGGCTGGGCCCTCAGCTCTGCTCAGCTCCTGCTGTGGTGGGGGTGTGAGGAAGGCCCCCTCTCCCAGCCTGCGAGCCTGCCACAGGAGTGGGGGAGCTGCCAGGCCAGGCTCCCAGCTCCAATGACTTCATGGAAATTTGAAGCTTGAAGCTGGAACAAATTTTTTTTTTGAAAAAAAAATTATGAAACAAGAAGTGAAAATCTCCATTAGAAGCCCCAAGACGACGGCTCCAACCAGAGAGCAGACGCATCCTCACTGAGCAATTAAAGCTGACAGCCTGGCACGAGCCTCCAGCTCAGCCACTCCCAGACAGGCCCCTTCCCTCCCTGGATTCATTCCACGACAGTGACGTGGTGGCCTGGGGTACCCATCTGAGTGGTCACAGATCTTTCTGCACTCCATATCTGTCCCCTGTCGGGGCTAGGGCAGAAGTAAGGTTCAGGCTTAGCCTTAGAATTCTGGTTCCAAACCAGCAGAGACCCTGCCTGAAGACCCTCGACGGCCATGATTATCATGAGCCCAGGACTCTGGCTTCCCTTCCATGGTGCCAGGCCTCACATTCCCCTGCAGTCACAGGGAGCTCAGTAGAAACAGCACACTGCAAAGGGCCAGGAGGCAATGGGCAGGAGCCTCCTGACACAGAGCGGGCACCCACCTAGTTCGCGGACAGTGCCTATGTGGGACCTAGAATACTGGGGTTCCTTCCTACCGTTTTCTCTAGCCGCCCTCCCCAACTCTATGTGAGCTTCTCAGAGCAAGGCATATCTCCCCCTCCCAGAGTGTGGGACATTCCTGGTGTAGCCCCCAGTCTCTATCCTTTCCCCCTGAAGGCTGTCTTCCCACAGGTTACGTCCCTGCTGAGAGCTACATCCTTTTGTGCCCAGCATCCAGAACACACCAGCAAAGAACCAGGACATGGACGGGATTTCAGAACCCCCTGTGCTGGGGGCGGGGGGGGGGGGTACAAGGTGGCCTACATGTCTGCTCTCTGAGTCACACAGGACTCTGGATTGTCACAGAAGCTACAGGAGGGCAGAGGGAACCTCACAGAGAAGCCAGACATTGATACACCCTTCACTGAACAATTGTCTCCCAGGCATGGGTGTGCCGAAGCGAAGAAGAAGCTGGTGTCACCAAGGAAGAGAAAAGGCAAAGACCTCTGCAACACACGCAACTGGAAATGAGTCCTGAAGACTATACAAGGATCACCCACAGTGCCAGCAAGATGGCTCAGCGGGGCAAGGAGCCTGCCAACAAGCCTGGCGGCCTGAGTTCAACCATGGAAACGCACATGGTAGGAAGAGAGAACCAACTCCCACAGGTTGTCTTCTGACCTCTGCATGTGTACGGTGGCATATGCATGTGAACACATACACACACACACTAAATAAAAATGCAATAAAACATTAAAAAAATAGGTTACCCACAAATCAGTAACAAAAAGACAAATGGCCAACAGTAGTGGCGCATGCCTTTAATCCCAGCACTTGAGAGGCAGGAGCAGGTTGAGCTTCATAAGTTCAAAGCCAGCTTAGTCTACAGAGTGAGTTCTAGGCCAGTCAGAACTACACAGTGATACCCTGTCACAAAATATAATAATAATAATAATAATAATAATAATAAAGACATTGGTCCAATTAAAAGACAGGCACCAGGCAAGCATGATGGGACACACTTTTAGTCCTAGCTACTCAGGGAACTGAGGCAGGAGGATTGCTTCAGCTCAGGAGTTTCAAGTCAGCCTGAGCAACCCCGTAAGACCCTGTCACAAGCAAACAATAATAATAAATAAAATAGACAAAAGATTAAGCAGGTGTTTCAACAAAGATGCTACTTAAACAACCAATAAGTGCCTAAAAGAATACTTAGTAGCATGAAGTAGGAGAAAATGAAAGTCCTACAGATTCTGCTGTACCACAAGGTCAGTTAAAGGAAAATATCGAGTGTTGACAAGAACGTGGGGCCAGGCCAGTTCTCGATCCTACTGATAGGAAACACTGAAGAGCTGCAGGGTGTGCACAGACTCTTCCCCTATGACTCCAAACTCAGGCGTTTGCACAAGAAACGTGCGGCTTTAACCGTGATTGGCAAACTGGAAACAGCCTGCCTGCCACAGCAGTGACGCAAGCCTTCGCGGACCTGTACAACACAAGCTACTCCACAGTAAGAAGGCGGGCCGCTGATAGAGGTAACCACACCATGAACCAAGACGGACCGAGTGAGAACCTTAGGGCTCCCTGGGCAATGCCTCTAGGGTGCCTGTTGATTAGGGACCTTTTGGGAGCTACCTCTCCCTCCGCTGTTAGCTACCCTGGCATGCAGAAATAACTCTTCCCCCGCCCCCTTCAAACCAGAGTCCTTGACTGAATTACACATCTTTTCTCGTAGTCACTGATTAATCCCTGGGTGCCCATTTATTCAGGAGGCTTGGTGCTGGGCACTATAAGACTCACAGGCCTGGCTTATACAGGACAAGACTCAAGTGAGGCCAAACAAAAAGCGGATGCTGCCAGCATGAGACGTGGCCCAGACTGGCACTTGTGAGCAGCAAGGAGAGTGTGTTGGGGTTGGATCCACCCATCCGGCAGGGAAGGCCCATGGACCTGGGAGTTCTCAGGCTAATGCAGGAGGAGCCCTCTGCCTCGATGCTAACTGGGGAAAGCACACAGAAACCTGGTCGTTGGAAAGGATCCTAGCTGTGGGAGGGAGGAGAGTCACAGGGCTGGACCACCCAGAGATGGCAGGAGATGAGTGATAACAAACCCAGAAATGTCTCACGCTCTCCCCTGGCCTCCTGCCTATCTCTCCTTGGAGAGCTTGACAACGCCAGCACACTTGACTCCCTCACCCCACACCTCACCCTCCCCTGAGGTCCTCTCAGCACTGAAGGCAGTGGGTGGCTCCTGTGGTCACATCTGACACTTGGCTGCGTTCTGGGCAACATGACGACCTCACAGGCACAGTTCACTAAGTCTCCCACCGTCCAGCCCCACTGCCCTCCTCAGAGGAGGAGGTCACTTTAGAGGGTTCAGCACTTGCCAGTATACACAGTTTCGAGAAGCAAGACTGGAAATCAGGGTTCCCTCGGCCTGACTCCACGGCTGTACCTCAACTGCTTCTTGGGAGTAAGGCAGGAACTTCTTAGGACAGATAGGTCCTGAGGACCTCCAAGTCCTGACCCACCAGGCTCCCTAGCCTTCTGTGAGAATGCTCCGTCTTCCCCCAGTTCCCTATCTTCCTGCAGCTCCCCCAGAATCTAATATCCTCGAGCCTGAAAGCAGAAGACAGGCAGACCGGTACCTGCAGGTTCCACCACCAGGCCTTTCTTCCGGGGCTCCACCGAGCCTCCTCTCCAGAGTCAGAGACACAAAACTGATTTAGATGCCCAGCCAGGAGGAGAGGGCCTGGTGAAGACCATCACTCTAGAAGCCGGGCACACAGACTCAAAAGGTTCCACTATGAGACCTGGGGTCCCAAACTCAGGAAAATAACCTCACCCATGCCAGGAAGTATTTGGTCTCTACAGAAAAGGGGTCCCAAGGTGAAGCTGGAGCCACATGCTGGGTAGGCAGGGATAAACAAGGCACAATTGTCAGTCAGCCAACCAACCAATAAGACTGAATGCTGAGCAAACAGTGACCCAGTTTGACAAGCCAGATGTGGAGCCCCACCCCCATGGAGAAACCCCACAGCACCCCACTGCCTTCCAAACCCTGGGCAGTTTCCGCAGGGGCAGGAAAGAAGTGAGGAGAGAAACAGCCCTCACTCTGTCCATGAGCCTCACAACCACGGTCTTCCTCCCCTGCCTCGGGGTCTCAGGACCCTCACTGGGCTGACCACAGTCTGAGCAATTGGCTGGACACTCTCACCAGTCCAGTTCCCTGACCTGGGGCAATGAAGCTCTACAGATGGAGGAGCTTCCGTGTGTGACCTCACCCAAGCCACAGCATTCCAGCGAGCTGCTGTAAGTCAAGGCAATACTGCATTACTGGCTGAGCATCTCTGAGGGCTTAGGTTCACAGTCAGTTAAAGAGACAGGCAGGGATGCTGGCTGGGGTTACCCTGGCAGTGCCAATCCCTAGAGCCTGGCTCTACTTCCTGCCTACTCTCCTCACAGACTTTACATGGCTGACCTGTGCCTCAGGATCAAGTCCCTTTTCTCGGCCCATCAGACCCCAACACTCAGCCCAATTCCTTTTCCCACCCTGTCTCCCTCATGTTACCACCCAACTGCCTCATTCTTCTCAGGCCCTTTCATTTCCTGGTCATGTCAAAATACTGTGAATCCAGTCAAGTCAGGTCTAGCAAGCCTCCCTCTGGGCCCCAGACCCATGCCACACGTGTTCCGCCACAGAGAAGAGGCAGTGCTAACCTGTGCAGCTCCCCGGTCTGTGCTGAGGGTAAGCAGCCCCAGGTGTACTTGTGACCAATGAGAGCCAAGGAAGGGGAAGCACTAGACTTTTAGGTGGACCACAGTGACCTGTACAGGAGCAGGTCCCTACTTTCATAAGGCTGTTGGCACATGAGCCTCCAGGGACCCTGCTTCCTAGGATTCATATTACTGACATAGCCCCAACTCCTTGTGTGACCAATGGGAAACAAACCAAACCAAACCAAACCAAAAAAAAAAAAAAAAAAAAAAAAAAAAAACAAAAAAAAAACAAAAAAAAAAAAAAAAAAAAAAAAAAAAAAAAAAAAAAAAAAAAAAAAAAAAAAAAAACCATGGGGCTGGAGAGATGGCTCAGCCATTAAGAGAGAACCAACTGCTCTTCCAGAGGACGGGGTTCAATTCCCAGCACACACACGCCAGTTCACAACTGTAACTCCAAGATCTGACACCTTCACACAGACATACATGCAGACAAAACACCAATGCACATAAAATAAAAGTGAATTATAACCAAAAAAAGAATTACTGAGATCATGTTACTTCTGAAGTCATAAAAGACATCAAGGCTTCTCTCCTGG